AAAGTTAAAAAGGATGAGTGGGAGTCTGGATACTGAAGGTGGACTGGACAGGTTGGTACCTAGTTCACTGAGCCAGGGATTCTCTAGTGCTGTGCTCAGCAGACCCCACAAAGTCCCTGCCTTCAAGACCCTAGACAGTGAAACGGGTACCTGCCAATGGATTCAAGTGCTATCCTTTGGCAAGAAGAAAGCCAAGGGAGTGTGGATGAGTACAAAACAGGTAATATGTTCGACTATAGCAAGGTGATGTAGGAGCCAGGTGTCACGCACTGAAATGATGCAATCTGTGCGTATTTATGGAGACATGGCAAATTATAATCCACGCCGCAAATGCTCTTACTTCCCCTCACAGATGTATTTTTTCTGCTTATTTTTTAAAGAATTTTAAACTAAGCTTTCTTATTTGCTGAATTTTTAGGGATTTTAAGTATCAGACTCCTGGAAAACACATTTTGCATACACCGGACGCCTCCTAATTCTGAATATCTAGCTTGCTAGCATCCACCCTCTGCTTGGCCCTCACACCAAGGCTGTTACAACAGCAGATATAGGGTTTGCTTCCCAGAGTGCTAGACTTGTGTGGTCCAATATGGCAGCCACTTGAGGCATGTGGCTATTGAGCACGTGTGTGTAAAACACACACAGATTTTGAAGATTTGATATTAAAATTGAATGAAAAATATCTCAATGATCTTTTATACAGAATATATGTGGAATAACAATATTTTAGATACATACATGGCTCAACGGTTAAGCGTCCAACTACTAACTGAAAGGCTGACAGTTTGAACTCAAGCAGAGGTGTCTCATAATAAAGGCCTGGTGATCCGCTTCTGAAAGGTTACAGCTTCGAAAATCCTGTGGAGCATAGTTCTATTCTGACACACGGGGTCACCTTGAGTTAGAATCAACTCGAGGGCAACTGACAGAGTCCCTGCGTGGGGCGATCTGTTAAGGTCTGGGCTACTAACCGAAAGGTTGGCGGTTCAAACACACTCCGAGGTACCTCGGAAGAGAGGCCTGGCAATCTGCTTCCAAAAGGTCACAGCCATGAAAACTCTATGGAGTACACTTCTACTCTGACACAAGTGGGGTTGTCATGAGTTGGAATTGACTTGACTGCAACTAGTGGTTACTGGAGGGTAGATAAAATTGAACATTCCAAATAATTTCACTATTTTTTTTTCTTTACTTTTTACTGTTGCTGCTGGAAAATTGTACATGGCTCTGTTATCTTCTATTAGACAGCACTGCTTTCTAGACAAGCTTTCTTCTTAAAAAGATTAGACCCATCCTTTGTGCTCCTAGCTTTCCACAGCCCCTAGCTGAGTTAGTTATTCACTAGATACTTTTCCTTGTGCACTCGCTCAAGTCCTGTTTAATACTTATAGTCTTCTGCCTTCAAAATCTTGTCCTGGTCCCTAAGTAATCTCAGCCCCCCTTTTCTCTCTCTCTGAATTCCATTTGACAGCGAAAATTTTTACCTAAATCATAGCCTATTAACTGCCACTGCGTGTCAAGAAAAACAGACTCCGAAAGTGAAGTTTTTGTTTGAAAGGACAACCAACAGGAAAATAAACTTCAAAAGCACTGGAAAGTGCCTGGATGTTCTCAACATTTCCACAAAAAATAATTTCCTTTTACTTCCTCATCCTCCTCTGATTAAACACACTTCTCCTGTAATATAAGAATCCCTAATAAAACTTATTTGCTTTTGGTTTTACTTGTCTGAAACCTGGGTACGGGGCTACATTAACAAATGGAACTTCCTGGGGAAATGCATTCAACATCCCAAAGAGCAGACCTACTGCAAAAAAAAACTCATTAGAAATTGATGATATATTATTATGCAAACAGCATGTATACTAAAATGAGACACTAAAGAATTAGAGCAAGCATAATTTGGTCGATTAAATGAGATAAATTAGTCTATTTTGGAACGCTGTGGTTTAGATAAGACATTTTGTAAAATAATTGAATAAACAGAGGCAAATTCCTCACAAAGTTCTACAGGCCTTTTACTTCAAAGATGGATTAGGGCAGGAGAGGGGGGAAAAAAAAAAACACAGGCAGAAAGTGAGAAAGAGCTAAGACTTATCTTCTAAAATGGCAATAATTCTTGGTTCTCTGACCAGTTCAAAGGGCTCCTGGGTGGCGCAAACAGTTAAGCACTCTGCTACCAACCTAAAGGTTGGCAGTTCGAAACCATGCAGAGGCACCTTGGAAGATGGGCCTGGTGATCTACTTCGGAAAAATCAGCCATGGAAAACCCCGTGGAGCACAGTTCTACTCTGACACACAGGGGGTCGCCAGGAGTCAGAGTCGACTCAACTCCAGCAACAGATTTGTTTGACCAGTTCCGAGGTTTGGGTTAAAAGTGTCAGGTCCATGCTGCATAAACCACTACACTTAACTAGCAAGGAAGAGGACCCTGGTTGGTAACTACCCCTGCCAGTTTTGCCACATAAATCCCATTCATCACTTCAGGGAACTGCTATGTGTGAGCCTCGAATCAGAACGAAACATCAAGCTCATTTAGAAGTTTAGTAAATTTAATTTTAATGAGACATCTCAGTTTGCATTAAAATTCATGAGACTCCCACAACAGGCTCTCTGGACCTGGCATTAGAAGGTCCGGGATTTATCTGACAATTTTACTTCTTGACCACGTGAGTAGGGAAATTCATGTCTACTAACTGTACTACTTATGAATCCCAGAAGCTTTCTGAAATTGAGTCATTTCAAATTTAGTAGCTGTTCTCTCCAATTAGTGACAGCTATGGAGTTTTTTTTTTTTAACTTTGGAGTTTATCAGTTTGTATCTGTGTGTCCATAAAATGAAGCTTTTTGTGTGATATTTATACGTATGTGTGTGTATATATGTATGTGTCACACTCACACACACACACACACGCGCGCGCGCGAAAGCAAACTCATTGCCATCGAGCTGATTCCGACTCATAGCGATCCTATAGGACTGAGAAGAAATGCCTCATTGGGTTTCCAAGGCTGTAATCTTTATGGAAGCAGACTGCCACCTCTTTCTCCTGCAGAGTGGCTGGTGGGTTTGAACTGCTGACCTTTTGGTTAGCAGCCGAGTGCTTAATCACTGTGCCATCTCAAGGCACTTGCTCTCTCTCTCTCTATATATATCATTAGTCATATTACTACTGAATCACTCAGCAATACAATCAGCAGGAGCAAGGGCAGGCTCATCATTTAAGATAAGCACATCATTTAAATTTAGAACCTGATCCATTTCTCAGCTTTGCCTCTTATTTGCTGTGTGACCTTGGGCAAGTAACTTCACCTCTCTGAGCAGCAGTTAAGTGTGTATGTTTTTAATTAGTCAAATGCAACTATTTCCTCCTATCTTGCAGGATTTTATGAGCTGAAGCAATCATGTATGTGAAACTACCACCAGGTCTGCAGTTTACATTAACTATGCAGACATTTTTACAAACCTTGGAGCCCTGGTGGCACAGTGGTTAAGAGCTCCGCTGCTAACCAAAAGGTCAGCAGTTCAAATCCACCCCACTCCTTGGAAACCCTATGGGGCAGTTCTACTCTGTCCTATAGGGTCACTGTGAGTCAGAATTGACTTGATGGCAATTTGGTTTTTTTTTGGTTATGAGTCTAAATAAGGAGCCTAGCTGGGGCAACGGTTAAGCACTTGGCTGCTAACCGAAAGGTTGATGGTCTGAACTCACCCGGCAGCTCGACAAAAGACCTGCTGATCTGCTTCCGTAAAGATTAAACCCATTGCTGTCGAGGGGATTCTGACTCATGGCAACCCTACAGGACAGAGTAGAACTGCCCCATAGGGTTTCCAACGGGCCTCTGTTGGATTCAAACTGCTGACCTTTTGGTGAGCAGCCAAGCTCTTAACCACTTTGCCACCAGGGCTCCTTGGAAATTACAGCCTAAGAAACCCTATGGGAGCAGTTCCACTTTATCCTACAGGGTAGCTATATGAGTCCGAATGGACTCCAGAGCACACAAAAAACAAGCAGTCCAAACGGACTCTACAGCAACTGGTTTCATTTTCTTGATGTATGAAGCCTTCTGTTGGATGAAATCTCGCAGTGTGGATTCTGCTGCGTTTACAACAGTTCTCTCTTGAGTTACACACTGTTATTCTTTGAACTGTTTTCTGTAGTCACAGACTGGCGAAGGGGACGTTCACCAGGACTGACCGGCTCAGTCCACACGCAAGGGCTGCTAACCCCTCCGACGCACAGAGCACTGCTTCCCAAGCTTTCCCTTCTGACGGGGCCGGACTGGGTGGGATCCGAGGTTCTGTATTTGTAGGCAGCTCCCAGACTATGGGTCACTCTCAGCAGCCAAGCGAAATAACAGGGCTTCTCACCCCCTGAACTACTGACTTTTGGAGGGGATACTCCCTTGTCGCGGGCTGGACCGCCGTGAGCACTGCAGGACATTGAGCGGCATCCCTGAGCTCTACCCTCTACTTGCCGGCTAGAACCTCCCTGCCTGCAACTGTGACACCCCAAAATGTCCCCAGTCGTTGCCAGGCGTCCCCTGAGGGGCCAAGCCGCCCGGCAGCGATGGACGGCCACATAGACTGCTACAATCAAGGTGCGTCCACCTCCGAGGTCACCTGGGGCGGGCAGCAGGTACCATCGAGGCTGCTGTGAAGATGGGGAAACTGAGACTGCGCAGGGGGCGGCCGGCGGGCTCGGGCGGGCCCAGGGTGGCCACGTGACCGAGCGTCGGGCCAGGGTCACCGGGGGTGCACCCGGACGTGCTGCGGCCCCCCCATCCGCGGGCGGCCACCGGAAGCGGGTTCCGGGCCGCGGAGACGCCGCCAGACATGGGCCCGCGGACTCCGCTTCAGGGCCGGCCGAGGGCGCGGGGGCCCGAGGTACCCGCCCCTGAGGTGGCCAGGCCCGCCAGCCCTGAGAGGCCGGCCCCGCCCCCACTCCTCCCCTGCCCCACCCCCAGTGAGTTTGTGTGGGAGGCGGCCGCAGGCTACCCACCCAGAAGGAGGCCGTCCATGTCAAAAAGCAGGTGGGTGACGGGCCGCGGCGGGGTCGCGGGCGCCGCCATGCTGCCGCCTCCTCGGCCGAGTAGGGGCGGGGAGAGCTGCGCGCGCCCGCCTTCCCGCCCCGCATCGCGCACGCGCCCCCATGGATGCACCCGCGCACGCGCGCCCCGGGCACCTTGGCGCCGCTCTGCGCACGCTCGCCCAGAGCCGCATACGTGCGCCCCGGCACCTTGGCGTCCTCCTGCGCACGCGCGCGCCGACCCGTCTCCGCGCGGCCGCGCGCGTGTGCGTCCCCGGCTATGGTCTCCAGGGCCGTAACTTCCACGGTCCGGGAAGTGGTGCGAGCGGGCGCGACAAGTTTGTTTGCGGCCACCCTCGCTCACTTCACATCCTGGAGCGGCCGGCTTCGCAGCCGTGGGCCGCGCAGAGCCGAGTTCCTCAGCTGGGGTCCAGTTCGCAGATTGAATTTGGAAAGAGCGTGATGGCAGGAAGGAGGGAGGTCATTGAGAAGACGGCGCTAGGGGTCATGAGGGCGAGGGGGCGAAGATGCTCAGGATGGCATCACTGCGAGCCACCAGGTACATGTGCAGCCAGACAGCCTGAGTCACGTCCCCCACCCCCCGGGGGTTTGTGTGACGCCGGAGCGCCAGCCCTTGAACCCTCGAAATGTCCCTGTGGGTTTTACCCGCCCGTCTCGTGGTGGTCGTAGGGTCTGGGCGACGCATGCGCAGTGCGGCGGCAGACTGCCCGGATACCCAAGGCCCGCAGCCTTGGCGTGACTTCTCTGTGAGCATCCTGACTGGTGCGTTCTCCCAGAACACCACCTGGCTGAAATCTGCTAGGACAGGTGCGCAAGGAGGATGCTGGAACTGAACAACGCCCTGCACCTTTTGCCTTATTCCTGAGCTTTCTTTTCTAACCTCTCTGACTGCAATCTGAAAAGCATTGTTTTTTGTTTTTTGTTTTTTTGCCATTCTCAGAAATACAATTTTTGTCCCTGTTTCTGTTGAGTGTTTGTTTACGTTGTGGCGCAAAGGCTTAAGCACTCAGCTACGAGCCAAAGTTTGGTAGTTTGAACTCACTCAGGTGCCTCAGAAGAGAGGTGTGGCAATCAAGGTCTGAAAGGTCACTGTGGAATAGTTCTCTGCCCACATGAGGTGGCCATAAGTTGGAATGGACTCGAGGGCAACTACCCACAACAAAACAAAACAAAAGCTTTCAAGAAGCAGAAATAAAATAAGGAAGATCAGACATTTTAAAACTGGAGGGTGTATTTGTAGTTAAGCACATAGAATGTGAACAGGGATGCACCTGGATTCAGCAAGACCACTTGAATGCCTGTGCCTCAGTTTCCTTGTGTTGAATGGACATGTTAAATGAGACACAGTTGAAGCCCTTAGCACTGGCTGGTAATACAGTGAAACCTGTGAGAGCCAGCACTCAGTGGGACTGTCTTGTTTTTCCAGGTCTAGCAAGGTTTCCGCTTTTGACAAAGTGCAGCCTTACCGCTTTTCTGTCACTCCTTTTAGTGGAAAATATTTGCGTTTTCCTTCTCTGACAGGTTTACCCCTTACATAGGTTCTGGCTTTCACAAGTTTTACTGTTCAACAAGGAACTACTTCAATGATAGTTTTTTTAGAGCTAGGGTGACAAGAGACTTTCCCCAAATCATCGAGTCATCATGTCCTGATTTAGCCCGATCCTGATTTCCCAGTGAGGATGCCCCTCAGAAGGGGCAATTTATCACAAAATTATTGAGGGAACTTATCATAGGCAATGATTCATGGATTCCTTCTAGAAACATTGATGGGGTGCCTGCAGTATACCACCGCTCACCAGCTGGAAGCTTAAAATTCTCCTTCCAGGTTTCTTTCCATTCTCTGGGAACCAATGGATGCACAAACAAGAGACGTAAAAATGAAAAAAAAGCCTCAGTGCTGGGACTGACAATCGAAAACTACAGTGATAACCCCCTTGCTTTAGTTGTTCACTCGTGGTTCCGTGACAGAATCTTCACCTTCCACGCAGAACTGGCTTTGATTCCCAGCCAGTGCCTCTCATGAGCAGCCACCACACGTCTGTCGGTGGCGGTTTGCGTGTTGCTGTGATGCTGAACAGGTGTCAGCGGAGCTTCCAGACTAAGATGGACTAGGAAGAAAGGCCTGGCAATCTACTTCTGAAAATCAGCCAATGATAAGCCCTATGGATCACAATGGTGCGATCCACAACTGACTGTGGGGATGGCGCAGGAAGGGGCAGCGTTTTGTTCTGTCGAGCATAGAGTCGCTGTGACTTAGGGGCCTACTTGCTAGCAGCTAACAACAACAGCATAATTGATGGCTTTGTCAGGGTATTTGGCTCCTTAGGAGTTACCTGGCTTTTGAAGACTGCTAGAGAATTTGCTGCAAACATGAACAGACACGTGGGAGTGGGTGATGGTGGTGTCAGATGTCCTGGGACAGAAGATAGCTGGAGAGGGTCACGTTTGCCCTGCTTCAGCCTCTGTAGTCCTGGGCATGGCTCTTGGCAGAGAATCCAGTTTGTTCGCGTCTAGGCATCCGAGGGAAAGCCTGTAGGCATCCGAGGGAAAGCCTGGTGGTGCGGTGGTTAAGAGCTACAGCTGCTAACCAAAAGGTCGGCAGTTCGAATCCACCAGCTGCTCCTTGGAAACCCTATGGGGCAGTTCTGCTCTGTCCTATAGGGTCACTATGAGTTGGAATCGACTAGATGGCAAAGGGTTTGGTTTTTTTGGTAATGACCAATAAAGAAGCCTTGGGGGCTCAATGGTTAAGTGCTTCGCTGCTAACCAAAGGTTGATGGCCAAACCAGTCCTCCATCTTGCTTTTCTACAGCCCTGGAGTTATCAGGACCACCCAGACCCAAAAGGGACAGATTGTGTCAAGAACTGAAACACATGGGGCCGCTGGTGGCTGGACCCTGCAGACATTTCTAAAGATATGGAGATTCCATCATTACCTTTCCACCTGCAAGGACCCCATTGCTCAATGCGCTTTTAGCTGAAGACTCACATGGGAGCATCTTTAGACATTCCTGGGAGTTGAGGAGGCATCAAAAGTGCAGAGATCTTGAGTGAAACTCTGAGATCCCTAAGTGTGTGTGGTTAAGGACATGTGGCCACACCAGTCTCCCTGTAGAAGACAGAGCAAACATCACCCTGAGGGCTGACAGTGGCAGAGTATTCCATAAGCCTCCGTGTATCAACGTGTACCTGGGCCAGCTTTTTCTACAAGATGGCAGTAGGAAAAGTACAGCAGGTCACCTTTACAACGGAGTGGCGAGTTGTTTAAGCAGGCTTTGGAGGCAACTCCACAGGCCTTACCTATATTCAGGTATTCAAAGAAATCATGATTGCATTGAGGTTTTAGGGTCCTACAGAAGTTGGTTGCCTGCATACCACTTGTTCAGAATTTCTCAGCCTTGATATGATTGACATTTGCCATTTGGGGCTGGATGTCCTATGCATTGGAGAATGTATAGCAGCATCCTAGACCTAAACCCACTAAATACCAGTAGCACACATACGCACACACAGTTGTGACTACCAAAAATGTCTCCAGACATGGTCAGATGTTCCCCGAGGGCAAATTAACCATGATTGAGAACCACTGTTCTAGAGAATTATGGGTATAGATAACTTATTGATTAATGGATTAGTAGGTAATATATGTAGGGGGCAATGGTGATTCAGTGGTTGAATTCTTGCTTTCCATGCAGAAAACCCAGGTTTGATTCACAGCCAATGAACCCCATGCACAGCCACCATCCGTCAGTGGAGGTTTGCATGTTGCTATGATGCTGAACAGGTTTCAGTGGAGCTTCCAGACCAAGACAGACTAGGAAGAAAGACCTGGCAATCTACTTCCAAAAATCAGCCAGTGAAAGCCCTATGGATCACCACAGTCTGATCCCCAACGAGTCATGGGGATGGTGCAGGACCAGGCAGTGTTTCTTTCCATTGTGCATGAGGTCGCTGACTTGACAGCAGCTAGCAGGAAGAATATAATATATGATTACGTATGAGATCCCAGTAGCCTGGCAAGAGCTTGGAGATTCTGCCTCTCATCTGGTGGCCTTTCACCATAGCCCAAGGGTGCAGGTACCCATAACCAGGCAGAAGAGCTCTCTGCCGTGAATACAAGAGGGAGAGAAGAGCAGACTGCTTGTACTGCTGGAAAAATAACATGGCAGATTCATTTTTTATAACATGTTCCTGACAAACACATTTTCATTTGCTACTTAGCAAATGCATCCTTCCCTGCCTATGAAACAAACAAGTGTTTCTCTTATTCCTCCTGCCCTTAGGAACTCCAATTTAGTGTGATAATTGTAACTCATTCCTCGGGCTACGTTGTTACCTGATAGAAAGCAGCCCCTGATGACTGAAATGCCTTCAGAGGCAACTTAGCAACCATTCCTCTGAGAGAGGCTGGGAAAGCTGGGTACAGCCATCATGCTTTTGTGGTGTAGACGGTCCACACTGGAGCCCAGGTCACAGCAGACTCCCCAAGTGTCAGTCTAGAGCGGCACAGGCTTGGGGAACCGGCAGTCCATGTACCGTGCCTCGTGAAGGAGTGAACATGAGGACGTAGTCCCGGCCTCAGAGGATTGTGGGAAATTCCCAACCCGCCCTCCCGCCATCCCTGAGGGCATCACCTTCATGGAAACTTCTGTCACTCCCTGACCCGTAAGGAGCTTTATCTAAAGTGTGGTGTTCTTTCTGAGATGGCTTTGGAACAGTTGAGATAGAAGGGACCCATGAGACCATCTGCCTCATCTCAGGTGTCAGGATGCTTAGCTGCAGGAATGCTGAGTCCTTTGCCCAAGGTCATCCCCAAGGTCACGTAGCTCCTTGGAGAACTAGAACCCATTTCTCCTGCACCCAGTCCAGTGCCCAGTGTTCTACCTGCTCCCTCTTACCCTCTTCTGCACCCTTCTTGACTTCTCCAAGGGACAGAACCCAGCCAGCCTAGACCACAACGTTTTTGCTGGATGGCGATATGCTGGCAGAGGGGGACTGTCTTCTCACAGCCCATCTGCAGGCACGTACCCATAGGCTGCCCTCTGCTC